AAAAAATAAATAAAATAAATAAATTATGAATGGTAATTTTATATGATGGTGAATAAATTTAACTTTTCTTGGCTGGATCAGAAAAGCCAGTTAATCCTTTTCTGGCCTATGTTCTTAGTGAAATTGAATGAATTAATAAATGAAATCTATAAATTCTGTTTTTAATTGCATAGAAAGGCCAAGTAGTATAGGATACAATCATGGTGAAAAAAATTTAAAAAAAAGAAAGTCTAAAAAATATGTAACTAATATATGTTAAAATTCCAATGACAATTTTTTTTTTACTTATTATTTCAGGAGATACTCCTAACATTAAGGTAAGTTTTTAATATCTTGTCAATATTTGGACTATCGTCAAGAATTTTTCTGAATTAAGAATGTAGTGATCCAAAGTACAGTAAGAGTTTATTCTTTGTAGTGTCCTAAAGAATTTTGGTCATATTTAGTTTCTGAGATTCTTTATTCTACACTACTGATTATTTTATTAAGTTATCTGTAGACAGTATATTGTTAAAATGCTAACTGCCTTTAGAATAACATGCTAATTATTAATATGCACATCCTTGCATGTACAGTTCTTGTGTATGTGTGTACGCCTATATGTAGTTGCATACTTGATTGAAAGTTCCCTGAGATCAGTGGCCTTGCTTGTCTGTTATTTGTGCATGTTTTTCCCTTTTGTTTCCTGCCCCTCCCTCCTTCCCTCCCTTCTTTCTTTTCTTTTTTTTTGCAATATGGGTTATTGAACACAGGATTTGTCACATGCTACACAAATGATTATGAATGGGCCGGGTAATGAATGGACTTTTTTACATTCTAGTTTGACAGGGTCTTCCTCAGTCTCCCAGGCTGCCCTTGAACTTGGGATTCCCCCTGCCTAGGCCACTCTATTAATTGGGATTAACACAATCAGCAGGCCTTTGCTTTTCGTAAGACAATCTGTATCACATCATCCTGAAAATTTACAGACACAAAGACAGAACCATTTTATCATTATCTGTTTACGTCCTAGATAACAAAAATTTAAAAAGTAGAATAAAATTAAAAAGGAAAAAAAATAGAGACAGTTTAATTTCATTTTCTTATTTGCAAATCAAGATATTAGGGATCACAAAAGAAGATATTTCCCTAAGGATTTATGGAAGTTTTGAAAAAGAACAAGCTCTTCAGATAGGCTATTCTCAAGTGCTTATTGAATCTACCTTTGCAGAGCCATGGAGGAGTTCTGTCATCATGATGCCTGCTCACAGGGGTTTTGCCTTCATACTTGATACTGAACATGCAGCCTCTCAAGTATTAACATGGAAGATAATGGCACACATCACCCCATTTCATCTTTCTTCCTCGTTGGTATTCCTGGCTTGCAAGAGTTTCATTGCTGGATCGGCATCCCTGTCTTCCTCCTGTTTGCCCTGACCCTGCTGGGGAACAGCATCATCATTGCTACTGTTAAGCTAGAGCCAAGCCTCCACCAGCCTATGTATTTCTTCCTTTGCATGCTGGCAGTGAATGACATGGCTCTTTCCTCTTCCACAGCCCCCAAGATGCTTAGCATCTTCTGGTTTAATGATCACAGGGTTGGCTTTAACATATGCCTAACACAAATGTATTTTATTCACACACTCTGCATTATTGAATCAGCTCTCCTACTTGCCATGGCTTTTGATCGCTATGTGGCTATTTGCATCCCATTGCATTACACAACCATCCTAACAACATCTAAAATCATTAAAATGGGCCTAGTTGGTGTCAGCCGAGCTATACTCATGGTTCTGCCCTGTCCTCTTCTTATTAAGAGGCTGCCATACTATACAAATTATATCATCAATCATGCCTACTGTGAGCACATGGCTGTGGTGAAGTTGGCCAATGCCAACACCCTCATTAACAGAGCATATGGCATTTCTGTGGCCCTTTCAGTGATGATATTGGACCTGGGGCTCATAGCCACATCCTATATCAAAATTCTCCAGGCAGTCTTCCGGCTGTCTTCCCAGAATGCCCGCTCCAAAGCCCTGGGCACCTGTGCCGCCCACGTTTGCACTATCCTTGTCTCCTACACACCTGCACTGTTCAGCTTCTTAACTCATCGCATAGGCAAGAAGGTTCCTCCAAGCGTCCATATAATCTTTGCAAGTCTATACCTTCTGGTACCTCCCACAGTCAATCCCCTGGTGTATGGAATCAAAACCAAGCAGATTCGGGATCGGGTGGTGGGTCTCTTCTTCCCAAATAAGAAAATTTCTGAACATTAAAACATTTCACTACAACTTTTGTTGTATGAAGTTACGATGGATTAACATTTCCAACCTTGTCTTCAAAATGTCATTTCTCAGTTAACCTTTGTAACAAGGATATTTGATGTGGTATAATTTATTTCTTTATCTTTGAGTTTTATTTTTATGGCAATCTCTCAGAGAAACATATTTATAATTTCACTCTCTGTCTTCCCATATTTCACAATTGTTGTTTAAATATATTTGTATCCTTGTTTCTCCATGTATCTACCTCTCAATATCTATATCTATTGATGAAGCAATATGCAGCAAGCTATCTAGATAATTAGAGGAAAGTGCAGAGTAAAAGACAATCAGGAGTTTCAGTTTCTGTTCCCATGTATGAAAAGTTTGGAAAGCATTCCTTCCAATCTTATAGCAAGAAATAGATCTTTAAAAAATGACAATCATGTTTATCCAATTCTCCAGAGATATGAAGTTACATGGCAAACTGCTAACCCAAAATTTAGAGAGTCAGGTAAACCCAGAGAATCAGTCCATATGAGCTTACCTCAAACAGACAGCACTGAAGACAAGAGTGTTTTGCTCTGAAAGAATGTTAAACCTAGGGTATATAGTTTGTCTCAGTGATAGAGCACTTGCCTCACATGTGTGAGGCATGATCCTCAGCACCACATAAAAATAAACAAACATAATAAAGGTATTGTGTCCATCTACAATTAAAAAATATTTTAAAAAGAAGATTAAAACTAATTTCTCAGAGAAGAAAATATACATATACCAGAGACTTGAATGTATATAAAGAAAGAACCTCAGAAAATCATAACTAGAGGTAAAATATTTGATATTTCTTATAATAATTGATTTAATAACTAATTTGTTGATCAGAGCAGAAGAGACAAGAAAAAGCTCAGTGACTATGAGGTATGCAGACATGAGAGAACAGGAACAATATTATGAAGGTGAAGGTAGGGACTGGGCAAACTCCATTATAAGGAAACTGCACTTCCTATGAAGCAGAATTATATTCTTGGAAAGGGGGGTTTGATTAATTGTAAATGAACATTTAAACCTCAAGGGAAACCACTAAGTGTGTCACGGTGCGTAACTGGTATTCTAACCCTGAAATCTCTAATATAGTCAATAAACTTCAGAAATGACAGAAAAAGAAGGAATGACAAAGAGAGAATAAATACAATAAGTAAAAAGCAATTACAAACATGATGGATATTAATCTACTAATGTGAATAACCACATTAAATGTAAATTGTCTAAATATGCAAATTGAAACAATTTTCAGAGAGGACAAAAAATGTAGTAAATAACTATGTATTGAATATAAGAAATGCACTTTAAATGTAAAAACACATAAAGGTTAAAAGTAGAGCTATGAAAAATTATATGCAATGATAACTCACCAAGTAAAGCTAGAGTAACTATATTAATTTTAGATAAATCACTGTGGATCAAAGAAAATTATTAAAAGTAGCGTGGTCATTATATAATGATGAGGGATTAATTGTACAATCAGACTAATAATTAATGTGATTTATCCTAATAGCACAGCAACAAAATAGTTGAATAAAATTGATAGAACTGTATGAAAATAATAAAAATCTACTATTATAATCAGACTTGAATTCTTAATTTTCAGTAATTAAGAAGACAATATATTGGTAAAGATAGAGGTGACCCAAAGAGCACCACTAAGCCACCTGGTTTGAAAGACATTAATAGAAAACTTTATCTAGAAACATGTAAATAAACATTTTCCTCAAGCTCACATGCAGTATTCACAAAGAGCATTCACATTATAGACCATGAATAAAGATATAGAGAAATGGAAATTATATCCAATGAATAGAGAAATAGAGAAATGGAAATTATACAAAGTATGTTTTCATACCACAATAGAATTAAATAACAAATTATTAACAGAACATGGATAGAAATCCCCAAACACTGGGAGATTAAACCACACTTTTCTAAACAACATGTAAATTAGAGAAAAGTCTCAAGAGAAAATTTTAAAACCCATATTTTAAACTAAGTAAAAAGAGTGGAATATGAAAATAAAGGGATGGAAGTGTTCATGAGCTCCGAAGTACTTCAGTTGATAAAGTAGTCCTATCTTAAAATCCTCAGTGGCTCATGAAATTTGGTTGACTAATGGGGTGCAGTTTTCAGGCTCACAAGAAGCATTCTTAAGATTTATGATGGAGCTTGACAACACGGTGGAGCTACAGGTATTAGAATTAAGACCTTGCTGCAAATTCTTAAAGTGTGAGACATCAAAAGGCTTACAGTCAGGGTAGTGGGTCGGCCAGGGCTTTGATGAGCCTTTTGTCATAGCGTTCTGCAGCATTAGAAACATACAGAGGAATCTCATCTTTCCCCTACCTTAAAGCAGTGTCCATCTAGTTAGCAATGCATAATATGGAAACAAAGGAAGTTGATTATATTAAGCATTAAATCTGAAAAAAATGTAGCTCATATGATGACCTCAAGGTAACAAATGGAATTTGATAGACTTGCAGATGCACAGAATTGAGTTTTCCACCTGATGATGATGCTTAGTATTTGCTTGGCAAAGGATGGTGAAGCATATTTCAGTTGTGCTGTTATTGAGGGATCACTGCTCAAAGACCAGAGGACAAGGGGCTAGAAGTACAGCCACACATGGCACACTCACATAAACACACATAGCACACCATAGTATACACATTACATCTGTGGGTTTTTTTGTAGATATTCATACATTTTGAAAACCTTGAATATATTAATAATTTCAATTCAAATTATGAACTGCAGGTTTTATTTTGCTTTTTGATATTTGTAATTTCTGTTCAGGGTTGAGGAATAGGCTTTCCATTCATCTCAGCTCAATGTTTCATCATCTCTGCCATTCCTTAAATGCTTTACAGGGTTAGCATGTTCATAAAAGGATGAAATTAAATAATGAATGTGATTTTACTATTTCATTTAGTCAACAAAATAATATTCATTACATACCAGCTTTAGAGATATAAAGATGAACTAGATAGGCTTAGTTTTCCTAGAGTGTGTAACTCAAAAAAATAAATTATGAGTCAAAGTATTATTATCTTAAGTGAAGAACTAGAACTTCTTATTTCAATACACCATTAACTTAAAAAAACAACACTGATTCTCACCAAGGAAAAGACCTTTTCAGAGTGACCTTCCATTATTTCAAATAATATCATATGAGAAAACAAGAGGATCATCAAAGTGGAAAATTGTATATGTTCTGGTTACTGGTGTGGTCAATTGGTCACTTGGCTTCCTCAGTCAAAGGGGGTAGAGACACGGAGTCAACACACAGACACCAGGAGCTGGTGAGAGACGGCAGGTGACAACGGCAGTCGACCTTCAGGCAAGCTCGTTTAGTGAAGAAGTGATTACAATTGATATAGAACACATATTCCAATCATACATAAGCAAGCAGGTTATACAACATCTAGAAACCAATCATCTTATGATTAATGTAGCTGCACTATGAGGAAGCTTTAAATATTGCTACATAGTGGAAGGCAGACTGGAAGGATCATTGTCCCTAGGGGAAGGGGCCTTATGAGTCAGGGATTTCATGCCCTGAAGTACCTAACTCTCAGTTTCCTGGCCTTGTAGCTTGGCAATGCTGACCTCAAGCACTGAGGACGTGGTTTCACTCACGGCTTGCTAAAGCAGAGTGTCCTGTCCTGCAGGTGTTCCTCTCAGGCTTGTACAAGCATAGGTTTTACTAGCACTTTGAGCCAATCATAGCTGCTAGCTGTAAACCAAAAGTTATTCCAACAGGAAATCTTTCACACATGTTCTATAATAAGTTGGGAATCTACCCATAAGTGATAGTACTGAGCAAAGATGGGACAAATAGCTCAAAGTAAAACATAAGAGTAGAATGGAATGCAAAGCCCAATCTGTGGGTAAAGAAGGTGAAAGCCGGGAGATGAAACTCAGAGAAGATATAAACATAGGTGGCATAGTCTAGTTTCCTTTTGAGCAACTTGAAGACAATTATGAATATTTGAAAGTAGGAGAGTGTGGTGAAAGTTATGTCACATTTCAGTATACTGAAGTCACACCAGCTTTACATATATATATCTTGTTGATTCAAATGTCTTCCGATGCCATCTTCAGTATGGACACATGTTCCCAGTATAAATGAGAGACACAGTGCTCCAGCTGAACCTGAAACAGCATTTAGGAGAATGAGACATGCAGATAAATGGGTGACTCAGAGTGCCACCTCAAACCTAATCTGAGTGAGAAATTGGTGAGTAAAAGTGTTTGCATGTTTCAGGATCACACATTTCCACATAGTGGTCCAATGACATAGCCAGCCAAACACCTGACTCACTACACTGCAATGTGTGGATAAACCACATCTGTAAGACACAGCTATCGAACTACAGTTTCAATAGATGAAATCCAGAATTTTCTAGCATCTTGGGCAGAATACAAGTAGTGAAAGCAGTGGCTCCTAGCATTCCCAGAAAGGAGGTACATTGGGCTCATGCAATTTGCAGTTGGCTTTGATGGTGACCAGGAGTTGGTGCCAGGTACATCACTGCTCTCTTCCAAAGAGCAGTGATGTACCTGGCACAGAAAGGGATACCAACCCAGAAGGGCAGAGACTCCATGGTGCACACATTACAGCCAGATGTATGAGGCTTTCAACATAAATTACCTCCTCACCGGTAGAATTTAAATATAAACACAATACATAATCCTATGAAATGTCATGCATACTGTATATCCTGGAATAACAATGTTAGTTCCTTCAGTTAATTTACTGTAGTATGTATAGATTATTTCTCCTCTTTGTTAGAGAAGAAAGACTTAGTTTCCAGGAAAACTCCTTCTCACCTGTTCATCCTTGATATATCACACATGATCATTTGCTTTGTTGGTCTCCATTATCTCTTCCAGAACTACATTGTTTAGGATTGAGAATCATCTGAATGGAGCCTCATTCTTAGGATGATGCCATATCTATG